TCCCGTCACGTTCTTGGATATTTTTGCTGATCAATAGTAACCCAAACTCAAAGTTGAATATCCAGCAACCAACCGCAGCAATGACCGCACCGGCAACCACCATCTCCGAGGGCTCTCTCGTCCTCGTGACTGGCGCCACAGGCTTTGTAGCAACTCATGTCATCAAGGCATTCCTCCAACGTGGCTACCGCGTCCGTGGCACTGTCCGGAACCTCGAAAAGGCCTCTTGGCTGCTGACCGGCCTGTTCAAGACCTATGCAGACCAAGGCTTCCTTGAACTGGTCGTTGTGCCCAATCTCGCTGCGGAACATGCTTTTGATGAGGCCGTCAAGGGTGTATCAGCCATAATCCACGTAGCCTCCATCGTCACCTTCGACTCGGATCCCAACAAGGTTATCCCCCAGACTGTTCTGGGCGCTACTTCCATCCTCGAGGCTGCTCTAAAGGAGCCTTTGGTGAAACGATTCGTCTTCACCAGCTCCATCGTGGCGGCCACGTTCCCCGTTGCGGGCAACAGCACCATCGTCGGCCCTGATACCTTCAACGAGGCAGCCATACAGCTGGCCTGGGCCCCCGGCACCCCACCCTCGGGATCCGTCGTTTACTCGGCCAGCAAGGCCGAGGCAGAGAAAGCCGTCTGGAACTTTGCCAAGGAGAGACGCCCACACTTTGATGTCAACGCCGTCGGCCCAGCAATGATCCTCGGCGAGCCGCTTCACAAGACTCACCTTGAGAGTGCTGGAGCGTGGCTAAAGCAGCTTTTTGACGGCGACCAGGAAGAGATTTCTTCCAGTCCTGCCTGTGCGTTCTTTCTTTCCCTCTGATGTCGAACTCGCTAACGCCGTCATTTGTGAGCCAGTCTACTCGGTGGACGTCAAAGACACAGCACTCCTCCATGTTGCCGCTGCGCTGGATCCCCATGTCCAAGGCACTCGGCTACAAGCCTGGGCCGACAACACCAACTGGAACGAGATTCTCGCCATCTTGAGACGGCTGTATCCAACCAAGATTGACACGCAAGACATCAAAGGCTTGGCAGGGGACAAGCTGACGATTAGCACTGATCAGACCCAGTCGTTGGCGCTGTTGAAGAAATGGGGCAATCAAGAGGGCTGGACACCGTTGGAGAAGACCGTGGCAGACAATGCCGAGGCAATTTGGAAGCTACAATGAAGGATAGTACCATTTAATTCTTGTTTGGGGGGCCAAGGGCCATAGAGGCAAAGTTCTCTTCATTTAAATAGATATACGTGCTTGACAACTTTCAAAACTACACAATGACGAAATCCGAGCCCTCCCCAGCCTCAACGCCCTCGAGTGCCTCCCCATCCATGATGCCATGTACATAACATGCTCCGACGAGCTGATAATTGTCGCCGTCGTTATTTCCAGCGCTTGGGCTGGCTTTGCGCAGCACAAAAGGCACGGTACTCCCCCAAAACACCACCACTGCATCGTCGACTCGTGTTCCAGCCGGGAAGATTCCCATTTTGCCACCAGCCGTCACCCCAAACATCCTCCCGCCACACATGTCGCTAACCTGCTTGTTCAGGTCTATCAACTCGCTCACAATCTCCATGGCCTCGTCCCCTTGAATTTCTTCAGGTTGAGTAGTGCCGGGGGAGGGGGGCCCGAAGGCGGAAGTTCGTGTGGGATGCCTCTCAAGGATGTCCCTCAACGACCTCGGCTGCTCCACCGCAGCCACGGGCGTATAAAGGCCGCCCTTGTGCCCAAAATAAAGTCTCACGAGGTGCTCATAGCCTAGCATGGTGGATACTGGTGGAGCAAGTGCCATTGGACGGGCCGGTATCCCCAGGTCGTGTTTCAGGTCCACCTCGCGGCGAGTTAGGTCGCCGACTATAGTCCGACTGAATACAAAGGCAGTCTCGGAAGGAGGATAGCCTGCCAGTCCGTGGGTCACGGCTAGTGTGCGCCAGGAGGGGGGGAGGAAGGCGCGGGGGTTGAGGTACTCCTCCATCTCCACTGGTTCATCTTGTCCTTCTTTCCTCGCCTTTGGCAGCAGAATGATCTCTCGCTCGGAGCCAGGGTTGGGAAACACATCCTCTGCTAGATGCGCAATTCGCGCGGCTGGCACACCTCGCACCTTCAACTTGGGCTTTGTACCGGAATTGCCGGCAAGAATAAGCTCAAACCTGGGCTCCATCTCCGAGCTTCCATTCTCCTTGTTGATAAACTCTGGGGGGATACCTGCCCTGTAAAAGGCTTTCCGGGTGTTGATCAGCCGCTTCCCCAAGACGCCCATATACTCGCCATGAAAAGTACCCGGGGAGAATTCGTATCCCCAGTTGATGTCCCCGTATGTTTTCATGTCGGCGATGTATCGACAAAAGAGGTAGTCCATGTGCCCATGGGTAAGCTCGCGGAGCCCATCCAGGCCGAGGAATGGATACGGTGGCTGCGGGGCACTGCCGTCGGAGGACGACGTCAAGTTCCAGTTTGGAACCCATGAAGGAAGATCACCGGCCGAGGTGCAGGAGCCAGAGCCCAAAGAAAGGCCAGCGTGGGCCAGGAAATCGATCCTGCACTGCGGCCTGATACGCTCGTCCTCCAGTGTGTGGATGGCTACCTTGGTGAAGAGCTCGGCATCAGTCTGGCCCCCGTAATCAACGGCAGACACGGCAGGGGACATGGTTCTTTTGTCAGGGAGCGCCAGCAAGCCATATATACGGTCCTTGTCTTCTTTGGTCTGGAAGTCGCACCGTGTGCGGAACATGCGCGTCATGTAATAAGTCAGCGAGATTCCCTTGAGACCCGGGAAGGTTATCGTGTTGAAGTCATGAATAGTTTCAAGGTTGCGGATTGTTGACATGATGGTGTCTGTGGAGGCCGGAGTCTGTTCCTGCAGCAGCTTTGTCACGATGGCTGGGTAGCTCCGGATATTGCGGATGAACCAGGAGAGGGTCTGCCAGTCTAGAGAGCCGTCGCCGTACCGGATGATGGTGTTCGCTCCCGGGGTTATCCCGCGGGCGAGCACGACTTCCTGCACCACCCAGGTTCGGCGTAACCAAGCTGCGAGGAGCATCCGGCGGATAGAAGCCCACACTGGGGCCGGGATATCGGCCGTCTCCAGTTCACCCCCGAACTCAACATGCAGCGTGATTCGAGTCCAAAGCATGTGAATCGCGCTCAGGGCGAGGCTCCCGTCGCTGTCGGGACTCGGACCCAGCCAGACGATCACCTTGTGGGCCTTGTGAAAAATGTCAGACATGAGAGGCACTTGCTGCGCCTTGTCGCTTGGGTCCATCTGGTTTATACACAGTGCATCGAGCCAGAAGAGCCGGGACCGCCATTCAGATCGCACGGCCATCAGAGCAGAGAAAGCCGACTTGGTAACCTGGGTGGGCTTTCCGTCGAGGATGATGGTCTCCTCGAGCTTGGAAGACCCCCAAGCGTAGGAAATGGCTTTGTACTTTGGTGTCTTTTCAATGTCATACCATTCCAGCGAGCAGTGGATCGTACCTTCATAGAGCCCGGCCTCGACGCGAAGGAGACGTATGAAACGCGGGGGCTTGCCAACTCCAGGGGAGCTCTCTTGCTGCTGCTGCTGCTGCTGAGACTCTCGTTGGTAAAGAGCATTCAGCCGCTCCACTTCGGCCGGATCAACGGGGTAATGTCCAGGCAATCTTTTCAACCACAATGTCCACCGTTCCTCGATAGCCTTGGCCCATCTTTCGACAGGCAAGCTCCCCAGCCATGGAATCGTCCTGGGCACGCCGCCCGCTTGAGCAAGCAACAGCAAAGCCGGGATAGATGCCACAAACAGCTCAATAGGGACATACGTGACCGTATTCTTGAATGCCTCTACAGTAATTGTTTTCCAGCCCAAGGTGCCATTATTCGCGGCCGACCACTTGGACTTGTCCTCCCCGTCCTCGAATACCTTGGTCAGCTGTTCCGCCGTGTCGTCCCAGAATCCCGTGTAGAGCGAAATCACCATCTGTAAGACCAAGATGCCCATTCTCCTCCTCGCGTTAGGGCCCAGGATGCGGTCAATGGTAATGTACCACGCTATGGCCGGCCACACTCGCAGGGCTACCAGTAAGATCTTGATCGAACCCAGGACTTGCCGGTATGAGGAACGGAGCGCTTTCAACACCGGGCTGGTGCCAGCGATACGAAGGCGGTAAAGGAGCGTGATGCAGTAGCAGGTTTTCTGCGCGTAACCATTCAGGATATTGACCATGAAGGAGTCGGGGACAAGCCAGCCAAAGGTGACAGAGAGGGTGCTCGAAATGGCGATGACCAGGGCGTAGTCCAGAAACCCGGCGACCAGGAACGGAAAGAGGCTCGAGGAGGCAAACTCGGGCCCGCCTGTGCTATCAGCCGTCGTGAGTCCCAGGTCAATGGCGGACGGGTAGTTGAAGACCATGACCTTGAGAACCATCATTATCAGCGGAATCTTGGACCCCGCGATGGGGCCGGCCTGTCGAAAAGAAGCCGCATCGCTCTCCCGGAAGTGTCGAAGGCGGGTTTGATATAGCCCTTGGGGTTCGGGTTGGCTCATTTTGGTCTAGGTAGCTGTCCGTGTCCTGTGAACCATCAAGTTATGGTATTGTTGATATCTGAATCGGAAACCCGGAGGAGTGAGGTCAAGCGGAAACTGAGACGGAAGGAAGATTCGCGGGAGATGACTTGGTTCAGCTGAAATCAGGGGTTCGGTGAAGTTGTTCCATTTCAGGATAAGCGGCCATGCATCGCGATGCCGCTATTCCGAAAGCCGACAATCAGGCTCTGCAATGACACGGTTCGTGATCCCATGTGTTGATGTCTGTTGGCAACACAAGCGACTGTCTCGCTCTCCATCCCGAAGCAAGACAAGTCAGTGGCTAACCTCGGTATTGCCATCATGGGAGGCATGGACAGAAGCAGAAGAATAGTAAAGTGAATAAACTTGGCGCTAAATGGGAACAAGAACCTGAATGGTGTTTGTCTCCATAAGCAGCGGAAACGGGCGGTGCTGACAAGAACCTTCCATGTTAGTCACGATGGCGGAGTGGTTAACGCGCTGCCCTGCTAATTCCTCTACACTCTGAGGGTTAGCATGCTAGGCAGTTCCTTCGGGAGCGTAGGTTCGAATCCTACTCGTGACGATATTCTGCTAAAGGGCGTGGGTTTTCTTTTTGGCGCTTTGCTGTGTCCCGCGCAAGAAAGCCGAAAATGGACGACAACGATGAGCCACGGCTTGGACCGCTTGGTTCTTGACTTGCTTAACAATACACATTCAAAGCCAGTAACGACCCCATAGCCCATACTCCTCCTCTGTGCCCCGAAACTTAAAGTCAACCTGGATGATATCTTGGAAGCCTTCGTCAAGCTTTGGCTCCTTGAACTTGGAGGCATAAGTGTTAAAGGCCAATCTGGGCAACGACTGCCGTGACTCGGGGTTTAGCTGAACAGCGCGCACAAAAGTCAGTGACCAGAACAACACCCACAGAAGCGCAGTCCTTGACATACCAGGTCATTCATGGCCCTCGCCATGTCATTATGCTCGCATATCCGCACCGGCGTCTTGAACCAGACACAACGGATGGGCACCTTGAACTTGCGTGCCAACTTGACCCATTGCTCTCTGGTAGTTGGGTCAGGGTTGGTGTTGTCTAACAGAGTAGACAGCCAGTCAGTGACATGACGCGAATTAAGGGGCGAGCAAAGGTTGCGCGCAGTCGACACCTACCGATGACGATGGAATCCCCCTCGCTTAGAAAATCTCCTGCTGCCTGGACGCATTTGTCTCGGCTGGACATGTCAGTGTCTGGTTCACAATGGGAGGGTGGGCTAGGTGGTGCCATACCTTTTGAGTGCATCCTGATTCACACGCTCGTACCCCAGCGGCTTCAGGTACTTGTGGTAAAAGGTGCTTTTTCCGGCACCCGGTGATCCAACAAACAGTACAATGTCCTTTTCGTTCTTCTTTTCAACAAGCGGCGCATTGTCCTCAGTATCCTCCCCCGAAAGCGTGAATGGAAACTTGGACAAGTCGAATTCCCGTGTGAACTCTCGTGGGGCTTCGCCGAGAAAGAACTCCTCTGGCGTTTGGTATCGTATCCCAATATTGTGCGCCAGATTGCGATCAGAACAGCTAAAGTCCTTCTTTTTCCCATCGAGGGTGGCGGTCCGTCCACCGGCATCACCAACAAAGATGCAATTCTCGTGGTCTATCTCGGAATCTTGCAGACCGTAGTCTTTGCATAGCTCTTTCCACATGCCCGGTCGCGGTTTTCGAAACACGTCGTTGGCCGTCGCAGCGTAAAGAGTTGTGGGGATGTTGAGTTGACCGAGCACGACGTTGCACTTCTGCTTGAATGCGCCCACCCGGTCTTTGAGTGACTTTGGAGCTTTCGCTTTGGGGTCGGGATGGAGGGTCAGTCCACCTTGGTTCGTGAAGATGACCACTTGGTAGCTGTTGGATCGCCAGTCGTTAGCTCACCAAACCGTACCTATCGTGCGTAGCGCTGCGATGGATGCCTCACCCTTCCTTCTCGTGCAAGTCCCTCACCCGCCCGGGGACTGAGTGATGCCACCATTTCCAGTCGGCAGCATCTTTTGCGTGTGTGTTTTTGGAGGCCGTGGTAATTAGCGTCGAGTCCTATCACGACTCATCAGCACTACAGACACAGACGTTGCGTCGACCTTGTCGTCCCATACCAGATCAAAAGCAGCGATCTTTCGTTTCTTTTCGGGCGCTTGTTCGGATTCGGGGACGTATTTGGCAACAAGGAGGGTAGCAGGCGTGTCCTGCTTGGGACTTCGTTCGGACCATGTCGTGCGCTCTTTCGGTTTCTGCGAGGTTGGCGTGAAGAAATTCGCGACGGCCGACTCTGTGAAGCCCGTCAGCAACCGCGAAACAGAAATCAGATTTGATGTTGCAAGAAACGGACAACGCACTCGTGATGGTGCTCTGGGCTTTGCGCTTCAGGGGTGGGGGTGAGATGGTGGGGTCGCGATCTGCCGGTCGTTTGGTTCCTGGGGCGGCATTGGAAGAAGACATGGAGCGAAGGGATCTCGGGGAAACCATGATTGCTGATTGGAGAAGGATGATGCGGTTTGACAAGTTTCGCGACATACGATGCAGATGAGATCGGTAAGGAGGACGCGAAGCGGGACGCGACCCTCGTCGATTTGGGCCGGTTCTCAAAGCCAGGCAGGAGCGAAAGCACGTGAGCATAGGTCTGGGAACTTAGATTAGTAAGTAGCCAGCCGTTCGCCAGCTGATGTGATATGTGCCACCTGTGTAGCCCCTGAACCAGCAACCTCCGCTGGAATAGCCATGCCACAACACATTTTAGGCCGCATTGCCTGTTGGTCTGACGACTCTGGGGACAGTCATCTCTTTGCAGCTAGCCGTTGCCGGCTTTAGCAACCCTGGTGCTCGGATCACGGTTCTTCTGGACCCGGAGTGACCCTGGTTGTTCATTCAGGCTCGAGAGGGCCTCGCAAAGAACCGAACCCGACACTATTTCTTTTGCTCGTGGAGGTATGAACGAGCAACCCGGTCTATTCGTCGAGTTGACGAGGCCCCCATCATCATGGCGTCCCAGAACGGAAAGGAGTACAGTGTTGCAGACACTAGTTTGACTAAAGCAGCCCCCAAACGGGGAACGCGATGGAGGCTTGGCTGAGGAACTACAGGGTGTAAATCTGCATACCAAGTAGGCTGCAGTATAGTGATTGGTCTGGCTGCATGGCAGGTGGTCTGGATGTGATGGAAATTTGCAACTCATGCCCAATGGTTATTTTCTCTTAATAAATACTGGTACACGCCCTCCTGTAGATTCTCAGCTGAGTCCTTCAACTCAGCGCCGAAATCAAAGCACTGCAAGAGTCGAAATGTCCCCGAGCAACTCAATCCTCCTCACGGGAGCTACCGGTTATGTAGGTGGAACAGTTCTCGACCACCTCTTGAAGAGTAAAGTGCCCAGCATCAAGAATCTCAGCTTCGACCTGCTCGTGAGAACCCAAGCGGCAGCCGACAAGTTGCGTTCCGTTCTCGGGGACTGTGTCAATCCCATCCTCTGGCCAGGAGGCCTTGGCGATACCGATTCCATCATCAAGATCGCGTCCAACTATGACCTGGTCATAAACGTGGGGTCGGGTTTCGTTCCATCCGGATCTCAAGCCTTTGTATCCGGTCTCGCCCAGCGAGCAGCGTCGAATCCAAGCGGTCCAACTCCCTGGCTGTTGAATATCGCGGGGTGCACCAACCTCGGTGACAAACCTCTCACTCAAACCTCGCATCCCGATCGCGAATTTGACGACGCAGACGGCAATGCTGTCTATGAATGGCTGCGCTGCGCCGATGAGCGAGAGCCCTACCCACAGCGGACCGCCGAGGTTGGCGTCTTGACCGCGGCCGAGGCGACCGACGGCGCCGTCCACGCAGTGAGCCTGAACACGCCGCTCATTTTCGGCGCCGGAACCGGTCTTTTCAATCGACAGGGCATCATCATTCCCACCTTGATGCGCTACGTCGTCACGCATGGTTACGGATTCAAGCTGAATGAGACTGCCAACTTCGACTGGGTCCACGTCGAGGATCTGGCTGATTTGTATGTCCTGCTCGTCAAGACCATTCTCGAGCGGGAGGATCGTGGTGTCGGCTATATACCATCGAATAAAAACGGCATCATATTTCCGGCTGTGGCTAGAGTTCTCCAGACCGAGATCATGCAGCACTGTCTTGACTCTGCATTTGATGCCGGGGTATTGCCCCGAGAAAACACTCCCAAGAACAAGGAGATCCGGCTCGTTGGTTTAAAGGAGATTGCCGATGAGATCACGTTTGGTTTGATGGACATGGCAGAGCAGGGATGGGCCGGGAACAAGGCGCAAAAGGGCACCGTTGCCAGGAAGCTGTTGGGCTGGAGTCCAACAAGATTGGAAGAGGCATGGCGGAATGACTTTGTCGACGAGCTGGAGGCCCTGAGAGACGGAAAGAGGGGTGTGACCATGGAGAGTTGTATTGGACGTAAATGAGTTGGCTCACTTGTACATGATTAGTACCTACCTCGAGTAACATTCAAATGAAAATCCACCCCTGAGTGTGCTTTGCTTTCATTTCTATCGTGTCGCTGTATGTCCCTGTTCTATGTCCGGGTAATCATCATCGTCTGTCGTTTGAATCCATCTTCGGTCGCCTGTGTCCCAGTTCTTCGCATCAAATGCCGAGGCACTATCCTACTCCCTGGACATTCCAGCCGAGATATTCACGACCATTGTCTACCTCCCAGAGGTGTATCATTCATGCTTGGTGTTGCTCCCGTAACCCTCCCGCCATCATCCGTGGATCATCTCATCTTCTTGGCCTTCTTGCTGGGCGGGACCGGACCGCCTTTGCCAAGGTCATCATTATCATTATCAACATTATCATCAAGACCCCAATCCGTGTTTTCGTTGTACATGTTCATCAAGCGGGAGCTTCTCCGCCGAGCTGCCGCACCCACACCGACACATGAGAGAGTGGCGCTGGAACTGACTGTCCTGCCCCGAGCAGCAGCAAACTTGCCGGCGAGACCCCGTCCCCTCACCCCGAGACCCACACCAGTCGCCGAGACAACTCGTCTCATCATGGGCCGAGGTCCATTCGGTCCTATGCGCTTATCTTTGGCCTTTTCATTCCCCGACGGCGGGCAATTTTCCTTGGAGTCGCTCTCGTCCGCGTTCTCTGGGCTTGGAGTCGGGGATGGTGTAGGAATCTGAGCGAACAAGGCCGCCATTCTCTCACTCAAATGGGTTGGTGTGGTGGCCGTCGGTGTTGTACCGCCACTTCCACTGCCGCTGACGGGTGTTACTCCACGATGCCGTCCACTGCTGCTGGAACCTGGACGAGAATGAGTCGCATCAGGTGGCTGGCCGGTGCTGATGACGCCTCGCAGGATCAGAGTCGCCGCTTTGGCACCGACAATGTGCTCCCGAGATGGGCCTGTGAAGAGGTCATCGTGTTGGACATGCGTCTCCTCTGGAGGCATCTGTCCGCGTCTTTTGAAATCAGGGTTGGATGGTTTCGATGCTGTGCGCCGCCCTCACCCCCTCCGTCCGCCACAGCTTGCCCCGACGCGCTCACTCCTCAAGACAGCCAAGACGGCAGTTGGTG